GTGTCCTCAACCTGGCAACCCAGGTGAGCTTCTAGTGTGGGGGAGGAGAGGTTGGGGGGAGACAACCTCCTACGATGTTTTAAATTTGGACTGCAGTACCCATTTTAAACACTTGCTGTCAGTCTTATTGCTCCTTTAATGATGTTAGTGTCCAGTCTGAGATATGAGGGCTGACTGAAGATTCCTGCTTTAATTTCATGTAGGAGAAGATAAGATAGACTTTATTGATCCCACACTGGAAACTCACTTGTTACAGCAGCTGCAGATAAAACTCAGAAGATAATAAAGAAGATATATAAACATTAAATAAGCAATTAAAATATAATAAAAACAATAGAATTAATTAATTATTGTGTAAATGTATGTATGTAGTGTATCAATGTTTCCACTTTAGCACTTTAAACTGTTTTATTTGTCCTACGAGTGAAAATGTCAAAGTTCTTTAATAATTCAATGAAAAAAAGCTTCATTGCTGAAAACATCATGAATGATGTCTGATTGGATTTGATCAGGTGTTCATCCTCCAGGAGACTCAGTCAGTCTGTTCTTCATGTCTGCAGTTAACTGCTTCATCCTCTATCAGCAGCTCTCCTCTTCCTCTGCAGGAATATGTCTCCTTATGAACAGCCACAAGAGGGCGCAACAGGCTTTCTGACAGACACACAACAAAACACTCAACAGTGTTTACTTTATACCTCAGTCTGTATAAATGAGCTGACTGGTGCATTCAAATAGTTAAAGTGTGGGAGACCAAACCTCCCTCTGTTTAACCCCTGATGAGGGTTGAATCAATGAAAGGTCCAGTGTGTAACATTGAGGAGGATCTACTGGCACAAATGGAAGATAATAACTATGTTTTCATTAGTGTTTAATCACCTGAAAATAAGAATCAAACCAACATTCAGGCTCTAAAATACAGGAGGTTTTTAATAGTGTCCATATTAAAGGCATGGTCACTATCCTGGTGTGTTTGTGTGTGTTTAGATATTTTAGCTGAAACGTCATCCTGCTCTGACATTTTTACAACCACTGAATCTGGTTGTGTGTTTCCAGTTTGTGACGACTGACAGTTGGTTTTTATTGTATATTGTGTTGATAGAGTGCACATTATTTCATAGACGATGTGGCAACTTGTTTGTTGTTTATTCAGCCTCAAACTCTAAAAGGCAAACACTTGGTTTCACACTGACTGAAAGTCAATATAAAGTCACATCCGTTATCTAACCCACAGTGAAAGTACACATTGTTTATCTGAGGTTGTCTTTGTGGATATTTTATTCTGGACTCGTAGGATTTTTACATCAAACACTTATATTAGTTATTTCTTTCACATGCCATTGTTGTAATTATTTATAAAGTGTTTCTGGATTAAAATTCGAACTGTCTTTTTCTGCAGTATTATTTCATTCATGTGGCTACAGTAGTGAACGCTGTGGTAATCTGGGACCAATCAGCATTTTACTTTGTATTCACACATATCCAACCTGCTTTCCTCTTGTCTTAACTACAATGTTCAACTCTGTTTTATTTGTTACTAATAAAACATTCAATCACATTGTTCAGGAGTTTATATGAACAGTAAAACCACCACTGTGTTCAACAAAGGTCTGAATCATTACACTGATTACACTGCGTTCAGTTATGATTGAGATATTTTAGAGTGAATTGATTTATTCTCATTTTCAGAACTCCAAGATGATTCACATGAAGGACAGACTGATCCTAAAGTGTGAGCTCAGTGACTACAGTGCGTTGGTCTTTCATCACACTGTAGTCCTCCTCACGCACTCTTCTGCCTATGCACCAAACAGCAGTTAAGAGTATTCAGCCTTCTTGAAGACCCTAAATGAAGTCCTGTATAGGGCTCCAGTAGGGGACTCCATTGTTCTCCTGGGAGACTTCAACGCACATGTGGGCAATGATGGAGACACTTGGAGGGCCGTGATTGGGAGGAACAGCCTCCCCGAGTTGAACCCGAGCAGTGTTTTGTTACTGGACTTCTGTGCTAGTCATGGATCGTCCATAACGAACACCATGTTTGTACATAAGGATGCTCGTAAGTGTACGTGGTACCAGAGCACCTTAGGCCAAAGGTCTATGATCGATTTTGTGATCGTAGCATCAGACCTGAGGCCACATGTATTGGACACTCAGGTAAAGAGAGGGGCCGAGCTGTCAACTGATCACCATCTGGTGGTGAGTTGTGTTAGATGGCGGGAGAAGCCACTGGACGGACCTCGTAAACCCAAACGTGTAGTACAGGTGAACTGGGAAGCTGCGTCTGTGAGTGAGGCCCCTGTCTGGGTGTTCAAAGCGTGTCAACCCCCAACACGGTGGTGGAACCGTTGCTCAGGGCAGCCATCCGACTGACGCTGGGGACATCGAACCAGAGTGGTTAGGACTCCTGAGGCAGTTGCAGGGTACCGACAGACCCGAAGGACTGCAGCCTCAGCTATGAGGGAAACAAAACAGCGGGTGTGGGAGGAGTTCCAAGAGGTCATGGAGAACGACTTTCAGACATCACCCAGGCGCTTCTGGAAAACCATCGACACCTCAGGAGGGGGAAGCTGAACCATCCAAGCTGTGTACACTTTAGTCAGACAGACAGACAGACAGACAGACAGACAGACAGACAGAGATTTACTGCCAACTGCACATCAACTTAACCTCACAGTCAGATAGTTCTGTTCATCCCCACTGAGGAGGAGGCGGGGCCCTACAGAGCTCATGTCAGGGACCGTATATGACCTCCACTGACAAACACTGACAAACACTGAAATAGGAGGTGTGACTAGACCTCAACTTGTTTTTTTTGTGTTGGTAACTTCACTAAAATGGCCTCTCTGGGACCTTGTCTTACAGAGGAAGTTGAACTCAGTGTGGCTCTCTTTGGGGTACCTGTCTTCACATGGTGATCCTGATAAGTGGTCTCATAAAGCTGGTTGTTAACTGGTTCAGTGAACTCTGAGTTTATCAATGCAGCTACAAGAGTCATGAGGAAGAAGACAGTCTTCTTTCAAATCTAAATTTGTTTCTGTGCAGGAAGAAGTTGTAATGTCTGTAAACACAGTATGAACAGGACTAAACTTTATATGAAAACTACTCTAACAGTCGGATTATTAGTCATTCAGTCAGTGTTCAGTTACATTCAATAATACTGACTGAACTTATGAGAAACTCTTTAGAGACCAACAGTGACACATTCTCACAGACTCAGAGAGGCGGAGATAAACTGAGGTTGAGGTTGAGGTTGTGTGACATTTTAAGTGCAGGTACTTTCCTTCCTGTCAGTGTGAGAACAGAACAACATCACAGTGGAGAGTTTGCATCCATCACGCTGTAAGTCAGAGTTTCTTTTTAAAGTAAAACTTGAATGTTAAATGTTGGATTTGTTATCATTTAATTCTTTGACTATTATTTTATGGACAAACTCTCTGTGTTGTTTATTGTGATATCATTATAATCTATATAAAGTGGACTCACACTGTTACGTAGACACTGAGTCTGTATTTTTATATTGTTATCATTTATTTTATAAACCTTTTATTGAAAGCTTTGAACTCTTAAAGATGATGAAGTGAAAGATTAAATATGTTTTTATCCTCCAACAGTGGAGGAGGAAGAACTCTAACAGTCAGTAAATGAAGCACTGCCACAAAATACATAGTCCTTAATCAGTATTTTACTCATTTAATCAATAATCTACTTTCAGGATGAAGTACTATTAACAGTTAAAGGATAAATGTTACAGTTCTTTTCAATAAGAAATATGATTTATTGTATACTTATATATAGAAACATACATCAAATCAATATTTAGTTTTACAAACTCTCAGTATTTTAGTGTTTAGAAAGGAAATATTCGCATTTCGTAAATAATTATCTCATATTTCTGTTCTACAGTGTCACAGTCGCCTTCTTAAATGTGATGAAAATGTTTAAAATCAATAAGAATACTGTATCAGTGATTAATATTTAATAGGGATGTTCCGGTCCGAGTCTTTTTATATTGATTATCAGCTGAGTCCCGATCCGATACTGTTTCAGATAATAGTGCACACTTCCAGTACATTATAAGACATGGTGTACATAAATTTGAATTTAACTGCTGACTTCTCTTGGATGCAGAGGGGGATTTGGGGGGCCCCTAGGCCCCCTTTCAGGCCTTTTTTTTATCTTTTTTTTTTGGTTTTGGTTTTTTTTTTATATTTTTTTTTTTATTTTTTTTTTTTTTTTTAATATATTTCAAAAAAAAGGGGTAAAAAAAAAAAACTTGTGAGCTCCCTTTTCAACTGTTGCTGGTGAACTGACAGTAACACACAGAATACTGCAGAACAGAGAAATAAATAATAGCCATTCGGTGGGCAGACTGATGTTGATGGGGTCTTCCCCCAGAACATTTTCAATTAAGTAGAAGCCATTTCCTGTATTCTAGTGCATTTTAACACCATATTAGCACCAGATAATCCAAACTGGTTCTGTGAGATATAGTTCTGGCTCAATACAGATCAACAAAGGGCCCAATTACTATTTCTCGAAACAGAAATTACATTCTCAAAACTCTAAGATCATTTGGCAAAACAGTCTTACAGTTCAGCACAACACCACAGCTCACTTGCAAAAGCCCATATCTCTCCAAAAACAGTTCACTCGTGTCAAAACTAAAATATATAATATATATAATACATATAAAATGCATCATCCCTTTGGCATTGTGTGAGCACTGCAAGTCAAAATGTTTAGATGTTTTGTCACTATGGCAGAGGACCATATCCCTCATGTCCACCTCTCAGTCTTAGTTACTGTACTAGTGTCTTTGTCTAGCTAACAGAATACAATTGTGTATAAAACTGAAACAATAAAAATAAAAAAACAGGATTTTAGGGGAAGAGTAGCCTCTAAGGTTTGACATCACACATTGCACTCACACTGCCAAGGAAAGGTAGCCATTTTTATTCACACACATAAAATAACCTCCATATCAGAGTAAAAAGAAAATGTATAAAGCATAAATATATAAACACATAAACAAAAACAAGGAAAATTATATGTAGCCTACAGTGCTGTAAATAAAGACAGTATATGGTATTCATGGTATTATGTTGATATGATTATGTTGACTAATTTTGACAATTGAACAGATTATTGTGCAGGTGATGACTTATAGAATGAAATGATGCTGACATGTTTTGGAGAGAACAACCATTAGACTGAGAATCAATTAATCAGTTTAGATCAACTTGGAAAATGTGCTAAATGTGGGCTAACTGTACTTAATCATTCTCAAAGATGTACTAAGACATTTGCAATGTGATGAAATAAATGAGAAATACAATTCTGTTGTGAACAATTGCCAAGTGGTTTGGAGTTTTGTCCATGTTGTTTTGAGAATGTAATTTCTGTTTCAAGAAATGAGCCAAACCAATGGAGAAAAACTGTAATACAAACAAACATTAAAGAGTTATTGATCACTTTTTCCTGAAGTGATGCTCATTGGACAAATCTTTTTATCCGAAAATTCAAACATTGATATTCTTAAAACAGACAAAATGTCTTCAGATATACAAACAGACTGTACAGGAGGAGAAGAAAAGAAAAAGTGTATACCACATAACTTCAGGCATATTTCACTGGTTTGCACAAGAACATCTGTGGTCAGACAACGTGCCACTTTGTTAACAGTTATATCTGTTAGTGAGGAACAGCAGAGGACGAACGGAAAAAACAGATCACACTTTGCACCAGAACATCTGTGTGCATGTACGTACAACAACCTGGTTTGTGGTTTAGTCAGTGACAGGAAGTCAGAGCAGAGAAGGAGCTGAACACAGAGGCACTGATACACCGAGACAGAAATAAGAGAGACAGTGAAAGAAAAACTAAAATCAGCTCTACAGTTTCTACCCTGTTCAACCTCATTTTCCACTTAGTAAAGACTTTTATTTATTTATTTTAAACAAGCAGACTAAAGGTTTGTGTCTTTCTTTATATTCAGGACTCTACAATGCTGTATCCAAAGACAGAGCTCTGTGATGGACTGTCCTTCAGGACCTGCAGGGTTTTCATCATTCTTCTAACACAGTGTTTAACAGGTAATTTACACATAGAAACAGTCCAGTAACACATTGAGTGTGTGTGTGTGTGTGTGTGTGTGTGTGTGTGTGTGTGTGTGTGTGTGTAGGTGTGTGTGTGTGTGTAGGTGTGTGTGTGTAGGTGTGCCAGTACTGTACAGTTTTTACACAATTTCCTACATGCACATTTATTTTTACACCATGCCACTACCTCCTGCTGTAACCTGTGCAATATCCACATCTGTAGAAAAAGCTGTATATAGTGTACATATAACTGTTATTCTACTTTTTTCTTTATAACTTTAATTTTTCTATTTTATTTTGTTATTAAATTTGTATTTCATTTTATTATTATTATTATTATTATTATTATTATTATTATTATTATTATTATTATTATTATTATATTTTTCTCCATTGGTTTGGCTCATTTCTTGAAACAGAAATTACATTCTCAAAACAACATGGACAAACCTCCAGACCACTTGGCAATTGTTCACAACAGAATTATATTTCTCATTGATTTCATCACATTGCAAATGTCTTAGTACATCTTTGAGAATGATTAAGTACAGTTAGCCCACATTTAGCACATTTTCCAAGTGAATAGATCCTGTTGATCTAAACTGATTGATTGATTCTCAGTCTAATGGTTGTTCTCTCCAAAACATGTCAGCATCATTTCATTCTATAAGTCATCACATGCACAATAATCTGTTCAATTGTCAAAATTAGTCAACATAATCATATCAACATAATACCATGAATACCATATACTGTATTTATTTACAGCACTGTAGGCTACATATAATTTTCCTTGTTTTTGTTTATGTATGTGTTTATATATTTATGCTTTATACATTTTCTTTTTACTCCGATATGGAGGTTACTTTATGTGTGTGAATACAAATGGCTACCTTTCCTTGGCAGTGTGAGTGCAATGTGTGATGTCAAACCTTAGAGGCTACTCTTCCCCTAAAATCCTGTTTTTTTATTTTTATTGTTTCAGTTTTATACACAATTGTATTCTGTTAGCTAGACAAAGAAACTAGTACAGTAACCACTGTGAATGAAGGACTGGGCTAAGACTGAGAGGTGGACATGAGGGATATGGTCCTCTGCCATAGTGACAAAACATCTAAACATTTTGACTTGCAGTGCTATTTATATGAGAAAGAAATTTAGTTTTGACACGAGTGAACTGTTTTGGGAGAGATATGCGCTTTTGCAAGTTAACTACTGTCTTACTGTTGTGCTGAACTGTAAGACTGTTTTGCCAAATGATCTTAGAGTTTTGAGAATGAAATTTCTGTTTCGAGAAATGAGCCAAACCAATGGAGAAAACCTGTAAGTCCTGTGTTGTATCTGGAGCTGCTGTAACAAGTGAATTTCTCCAGTGTGGGATCAATAAAGTTAATCTTATCTTGTTCCTGTACTCCCTGATACACGACTGCCATTCAAATGATGGTAGAGTCACATTTTATTCACACTCTCTGTGAGTTGTTGAGTTAGACATATAAGAATTAGAAAGAGGACAAAAACACTTCCCCAGCCAGAATTTTTTTTAAACTTTACACTTCATGATGCTGTCTGATATTTGTGCTTGAAGCTCAAACTGTGATGAGTGTGAGTCAGATACAGACTCTGAGGCTCCAGCGGTCGACTGTCTTTGTTTTTGATGCAGTTTTATTAAATGTTTTCTTACTTTTAGAAAGTAAAAATGAATCCATTCAGTCTGATGACATGTATTATAACTATACTACTGTTTCTTGTTTGTTCTTTAGTTTGCGTTGCAGAGCAGTCAGAGTTGATTTGTTCACATCAACCAATCGTAGCCCTGGCTGGTGATGATGTCATTCTACCATGTTACCTTGATCCTCCAATCAGTGCCAGTTCTGAGACAGTGGAGTGGACCAGACCTGGTTTAGATCCAAAGTACATCCATTTTCACCAAGATGGACGACTGATGTTTGAAACTCAAAATCCATCTTACAATAACAGAACGAGACTGTTTGTGGATGAACTGCAGAATGGAAACGTCTCCATGAAAATCTTCAAAGTGAAAATCTCTGATGCAGGAAAATACTTTTGCTTCCTTGAACCAATGTTGAAGGAAGCTTCCATCCAACTCACTGTTGGTAAGTCAGACTTTCTGAAGATGATGAATTACACATTGTGGTGACTGTTGCTACTGATGAGATTGATAGACTGAGTCAAACTAGTTGGACGTGTGTTCTCCACACAGACCACTTCTTCATTTTGCAAAAAGCTTTATTATCTTATAACAAAATACCAGAACGTGTATGGCTACACGGCCAAAAACTGCTCACCTATTTCAATCACAAAGAATAAACAAATAATGCATCCATAAGAATAAAAATCTAACTCTGATCAACCCATCTTGTAGAATCGGATCCAGCCTGTAAATGCTGCTTTTCCTTTTTACTCCAAACCTCTCAGATATCACTGCTTCAGTTTCACTGTGGGATCTTTCCTTCTGACTGAAAAGAATGATGGCAGACAAACTCTGACCTAATGAACCTTTCAACATTTCATGCTCCACCTTGGCTTCATATCTCCATGGGCATTTTCCAGACAATGCTTCCTTTTCTGACTCGCCCAGTGTTTTTACAATAATAACAAAAAATACATGCAAAATGGCAGCAACACACATTTCTGCTGACTGCAAAGATCAGTAATGTAACTTTATATTAGAAGTAAGCAGCCATGATAAGACACAAAGAAAACAAAGTCAAACAGGCAGAAGATGAAGACTTTAAAATATAAAGTCAGAGTAAAATCAACATTGACTGGAAGAAACATTAAATGTTTCCTGTGGAGTTTTATTAGAAAGAAACATTTCTGTTAACATTCAGTGTTTCTTATCAAAGTACTTTGTGTGTTTCCTTCAAGTCTAACAATTATGTTGAAAGCTGTATTATGGAGAGCATGTTTAGTCACCAGCAATATTCTTCCTGTCTTTGCTGCTCCAGTGCAGTGTTTATTTGGCTCATTACTGCCACCTGTAGGTCACATTGTTAGGTAGATAGATAGATAGATAGATAGATAGATAGATAGATGTGAGATAGATAGATACTTTATTCAACCTGAGGGAAATTCAAGTATCCAGTAGCATACAAAATACAAAACATACATTAAACATACATTAGACTAAAATTAAAATCCCTAACCTTAAGAATAGAATTAAAAATAAAATAGAAGATAAAATAGAAAGTATTATATATATAGATATATATATAATATATAAAATTAACAGTAGCTACAATAAATGGTGCGAACAGTGCAAATGGAAGTAAGTAAGTAAAACAGTGCAAATGGATGTGCAAAATACAGATAGAAATTGTCCATTGTCTATTATCTATTGTCCTCCCTGCCTTTACTGAGAGCTGTTGTACAGTCTGATGGCCAGGGGGACGAAAGAGTTTTTGAGTCTGTTGGAGCTCGACTGGGACAGCAGTCTGCCACTGAACACACTCCTCTGCCTAGTGAAGGTGTCGTGCAGAGGGTGCTGGGTGTTGTATGGACAGCAGTTTGTCCAGGGTCCTTCTCTTCCACTGTCACCAGAGAGTCCAGCTCTGTGTCCACCACTGAGCCAGCTCTCCTCACCAGTCTGTCCAGTCGACCGGCGTCTCTCTTCTTGCTGCTTCCTCACCAGCAGACCACAGCATAAAAGAGCATGCTGGCCACCACAGACTGGTAAAACATCTGCAGTAGTTTTTTGCAGATGTTGAAGGACCCCAGCCTTCTCAGGAAGTACAGACGGCTCTGCCCTTTCCTGCGTAAAGCGTACATATTTGCTGTCCAGTCCAGCTTGTTGTCCAGCTGCAGCCCCAGATATTTATAGGTCCTGACCACCTCCATCGACCCCCTTGATGGACACGGGTTGGAAATGTGGTTTCTTCCTTCTGAAGTCCACCACCATCTCCTTGGTCTTGGAGGTGTTCAGCTGCAGATGGTTGGACCTGCACCACCTCACAAAGTCCTCGACCAGGCTCCTGTACTCCCCCTTCCATCCATCCTTGATACAGCCAACTATCGCAGCGTCGTCCGAGTATTTCTGCATGTGGCAGAGCCCAGAGTTATACTGGAATTCAGATGTGTTCAAGGTGAAGAGGACGGGGGAGAGCACGGTCCCCTGTGGTGCTCCGATGCTGCTGACCACAGTGTCTGCAGCACAAAAACGCAATTCTCACAGCGCCGCTCTCCTTGTCCAGATGAGAGTGGGCCCTATGGAGGAGATAGAGGATGGCATCCTCCACGCCCACCTTCTCCTGACATCCAAACTGCAGTGGATCTTGTGCGTGGTGGACCTGGGGTCTAAGGACATGCAGCAGCAGCCCTTCAAAGGTCTTCATAATGTGTGACGACAGTGCTACTGGTCTGAAGTCACCCGGCTCCTTGGGGTGTTTTTTCTTAGGAACCGGGATGAGACATGAAGTCTTCCAGATCACTGGGACCCTCCCCAGTTGTTCATTGTGTTACCTGCACAAGATAAAGCAAATAAAGACCCACTGATAAAAACACTGTTTCACAGCACTTACAGAGGTCAGAAACACCACAGGGTGCATTCAAAGGTCCAGTGTGTGAGAGTTATGGATCTCTACAGAAGTGGAATTAAACTCTGTTTGATAAGTTTACAATCTCCTGAAGAATTAAGAATTGTTGTTACTTTATAATGAGCCTTTAATATTGCCATGGAGGCAATCATATTAAACCACCATCTTTCTACAGTAGCCCAAAGGGACAAACTAAACACTTGCTGTAGATACAGACTTTCATATTTTTCGTGGCCACCATAGTTTTTCCTTCATGTGTGGTTGAGTCAGTGGGTTCAGTTGGTTGCAATCTGCAATCTCACTGCTAAATACTACACAATTTTAAATTGCACATAATAACAGTTGATCGTGATGATCTTGATGAAGCAACATGTATAAATACATTCAACAGGTTTGTTCATTCAAAGAGTTCAAAGATGTTTTGGTGGAAAATGTTAAGTTGCAAACTTTTTATAATATATTTAAACTTTGATACAAGTTTGATCTTAAAATTCCTCCTCTCTTCTCATCAGGTGTCGTCTCCACTCCCATCATAGAGGTTGTCTCCAATAACAACAGCAGTAAGGTTTTACAGTGTGAGTCTAAAGGCTGGTATCCAGAGCCTGAGGTGGTCTGGCTGGACGGTGAGGGAAACCTCCTCTCTGCTGGACCTACAGAGACAGTCAGAGGTCCTGATGACCTCTATACTGTCAGCAGCAGAGTGACTGTGGAGAAGAGACACAGCAACAACTTCACCTGTAGAGTCCAACAGAAGGACATCAACCAGACCAGAGAGACACACATCTATGTTCCAGGTTATAAAGAGCTCTAAATATATTAAACATATTGTCACTGTTGAGCTCTAGTTTGATTCAATAATGTCATTCTGTTCTCTCTTCTATCTTTTCAGATTATTCATTCACAGTTCAGTCTGATTGGATTCTGATCATCGGCACTCCTGTTTGCATTTTTGTGCTGTTCATCATTATCATGCTGATAATATGTAAGTCATATTTATTTTCCTTTTTTATTCCAAGTTACTGTCAGAGCTCTTTATTGACATACATACAGGCATAACAACAGTAACTAAGCAAACAGTCTGAAATGATCTTCACTGCAGGAAATTTGGGGAAAATGGAGGAAATAAAAGAAAATGTGTTGCTTTCAAAAGCTTTCTCTCATTTGGAAATGTTCTGTTTATGAAAGTCACTGTGATGTTAAAAATATTCCAGTTCAATTATCATATTTTTGTTCTGCTTGTGTAGTTTTCTCACTTTAACACTCATTCATTGATTAGACAAAAACACATGAACACAACAACTTCAACACTTTCCTGTTTCTGTTGGTTCACAGGCATAAAGAGGATCCAGGACAAAGTAATTTCACAGAGGCAGAGATGGATGAACAGCAGGATGTAAAAGAGGCAGCGTTTGTGATTCCAAGAAATCCAACAGTGATGAAGAAACAGAATGCTGATGGGATTGTAAGCAGCTGGACAGAGTTCAGAGATCACAGACAGAGGAAACATCAGCAGGAAATAACACTGAAGACACTTTAAAACACAGAGAGACGCAGCGTTGAACGACGTGGACTAAAAACCTCCTGTAGTGACCGAGAACGAGGAGGAAATCATTGTGACACTGGAGGATATTCTCCATCTTTTCCTGCTCTACCATCACACTGACAGAGAATGATGATGTTGTTTGTCTTCCTAGTTTACAATCTATCCATTGTGACTTTGTTTTCAGTCTATGTGAGCAGGTGTTGTCTTTGAGCCAGTGAAAAGGCTGCAGACACACAGTGAAGAAGTGAGATCTTAATGATGTTGGTGTCCAGTCTAAGATATGAGCTGTGACTGAAGATTCCTGCTTTCATTTCATGGATTGTATCAAAGTTCCCACTTTAGCACTTAAAGTAAAGTAAAATGTCAACAGGTTGTGTACAAAAGGCTGTGACTTTGTCCATCATCATCCATTCTCATCTGTTTAAACTCAGAACTGTTCACTACATGTTTCTTTACTCGAGCTGTATGAGTTCATTTTATGAGTTTATCTACAAAAGAAAAGTCTGCATTGTTCTCCTTACACTGTGTGCTGGTTGAGATTTGTCCTGTAAGGAGCTGTGGATGTGACAGGATGCTCCTTTAGTTTCTGGTTTTAGTGACAATGAAAATACTGATCTTGGCATTAACCTCTGTTCACATTTTAGTATTTCTTTCTGCACTTTTCTGTATTTATAATTCATTAACTGCTGTCTGTAAGTCAAATTAAAGCTTTACTGTACTCAACACTATTAAAACTATCAATAGATCATACTCTCATTTATTATGTCATTGTGGTCATTTTCAACATTGTCAGTAATTCAGACACTATCTGACTTTACATCTGGAACCTTTAAAGTAATTTAACAATGTAATAAAACACAGGGTGACTCCTTATTGAACAGAAACCTTTACACTCACTTTAAGCTCTCTGATACTAGAAAGAAAGGTTAGTGCGCCCCCTGCTGATAAATAAAGGTTCAATATTAGTGTCACTGCATCTTCCTCTTCATGCTCCTATAATGTGTGCTGCTCTCACGTCTCCAGGTTCAGAAACTATGAGGACTTTGTATTAGAAGTAAGCAGCCATGATACAACAGAAAGAAGACAAAGTAAAACAATTCATGAACACTTAACAATGTAAAGTCAGATTAAAATCAACATTGACTGGAAAAAAACCTGAAAGGTGTCCTGTGGAGTTTTATTCTACACAGACAACAGTTCAATCGTCTTCCTGCCTTTGCAGGTCCATTGCTGCGTTTGCTGCCACCTGTAGATCACAAGGTAACACAAACAGAGAGCCACTGATGAAGACATTGTTTCACAGCACTTACAGAGGTCAGAAACACCACAGGCTGTCTTTAAAGCAACTCTAAGGTTGATATTTGTTGTGATTCAGCCCTCAGTTACCACTGTGGTAAATATGGACAGCTGAACATGTGCTGATATCTTGTCGTCTGTTTTGGTTCGGCACCATTCAGCACAACTGTTGTTCCCATGTGTATGTGTTTGTCAGTGAACTGGTGACTCTTACTGGTTGTTCTGGGTGCTGTTACAGAGGAGGCTGGGATCAGTGTAACAAATACTGCAGTGCAGGAACACTGACCATCACTAATATGAGGACTGAGAACCAGAGAGCAACTGGGGAAGACAGAGAGAGTGCAGACCAACAGAGAAAACTTCAGGAGGAGGAAATAAAGTCGAGTTTCTTTCATATATAATATATATATACATTTATAAGTGACATTTTGAAACATCAAGTGCTCAGAATACAAAGAAATCAAAAAATACTATAAACAGTTAAAATGAACATACGTAGATAAGGTAATAGATAATATTGTAAACAGAAAAACATGAAGAGATTCAACCAATGAACCAAATAAAGAAGAAGACAACAGTATCTTTAAAGTTTAGCCACAGAGACCAAAATCTGTTTATGTGGTTTTTAATTAATGTTGGTGTAAAAATGGGGATTTGATTTCTCATAGTCAGGGCTGTATGAACCACAGAGGAGGGGGTACACTACACATCCCACTGAGATGAAAGACATACAGTTTAGACAAGTCTTATAGTCACCAGCATGTGGAAGAATTCATTACAAATTACTCACTTCTCTCAAAGCATTTCCTCACCTAACGTCTTAGTTGTGTACTTAATAAAACTTAAATTTTTATTGAGCAGTCGAGTATTATTTTACTGATACAGGACTGCCATCCAAATGATGTTAGCGGTCGATTGTCTTTGTTTTTGATGCAGTTTTATTAAATGTTTTCTTACTTTTAGAAAGTAAAAATGAATCCATTCAGTCTGATGACATGTATTATAACTATACTACTGTTTCTTGTTTGTTCTTTAGTTTGCGTTGCAGAGCAGTCAGAGTTGATTTGTTCACATCAACCAATCGTAGCCCTGGCTGGTGATGATGTCATTCTACCATGTCACCTTGATCCTCCAATCAGTGCCAGTTCTGAGACAGTGGTGTGGACCAGACCTGGTTTAGACCCAAAGTACATCCATGTTCACTATAATGGACGACTGGTGTACGAAACCCAAAATCCATCTTATTATCTCAGAACGAGACTGTTTGTGGATGAACTGCAGAATGGAAACGTCTCCATGAAAATCTTCAGAGTGAAAATCTCTGATGCAGGAAAATACTTTTGCTTCCTTGAATCAATGTTGAAGGAAGCTTCCATCCAACTCACTGTTGGTAAGTCAGACTTTCTGAAGATGATGAATTACACATTTCTGCTGACTGCAAAGATCAGTAATGTAACTTTATATTAGAAGTAAGCAGCCATGATAAGACACAAAGAAAACAGTGCTGTAAGTTATTTGTTGGATCTGAATCCACTGTTTGATATTCCTCCTCTCTTCTCATCAGGTGTCGTCTCCACTCCCATCATAGAGGTTGTCTCCAATAACAGTAGAAGAGTAGTTCTACAGTGTGAGTCTAAAGGCTGGTATCCAGAGCCTGAGGTGGTCTGGCTGGACGGTGAGGGAAACCTCCTCTCTGCTGGACCTACAGAGACAGTCAGAGGTCCTGATGACCTCTATACTGTCAGCAGCAGAGTGACTGTGGAGAAGAGACACAGCAACAACTTCACCTGTAGAGTCCAACAGAAGGACATCAACCAGACCAGAGAGACACACATCTATGTTCCAGGTTATAAAGAGCTCTAAATATATTAAACATATTGTCACTGTTGAGCTCTAGTTTGATTCAATAATGTCATTCTGTTCTCTCTTCTATCTTTTCATCTGATTTATTCACAGTTCAGTCGTCTGATCGGATTCGGATCATCGTCAATCTTCTTTGCATTATTGTGCTGCTCATTATCCCTCTGATAATATGTAAGTCACATATTTATTTTCCTTTTTTATACCAAGTTACTGTCAGAGCTCTTTATTGACATACATACAGGCATAACAACAGTAACTAAGCAAACAGTCTGAAATGAGGAGGACCAGAGAGAGCAACTGGACAGAGTTCAGAGATCACAGACAGAGGAAACATCAGCAGCAGGAAATAACACTGAAGACACTTTAAAACACAGAGAGACGCAGCGTTGAACGACGGACTAAAAACCTCCTGTAGTGACCGAGAACGAGGAGGAAATCATTGTGACACTGGAGGATATTCTCTATCTTTTCCTGCTCTACCATCACGCTGACAGAGAATGATGATGTTGTTTGTCTTCCTAGTTTACAATCTATCCATTCTGACTTTGTTTTCAGTCTATGTGATATAATATTCTTTATACTTAATACTGTGATCTTTTGCACATTCCAGCAAAACCTGTAAATTGTCCATATAATGTAATATAATAATTTTAGCATCTTATAATAATGTTTATGTACTAAGTGCTTCAAATAGGACCACAACTTCATAACCACTTGATCATTTTGGTAATTTGTATTTAGAGAACAACTCTTATCATGGCTGCCACTCAAGTACTTCCTTCTCCTTGAGAGAATTTGATGACAAATCAATATCTTGTCATACATATTGAGTACACACAGTTTCTGTTTGCCAGTATTTTCTTGTTGTTGTTTATCTCCTCATTGTATTAATGAACATTATTATTGACTGAATGTAATCTGAGAGAGACATTGCAAATTACACTGTCATTATGGTGAGATACTATATAATGACATATACTACATATTATATATAGAATATATATAACTATACTAAACATAACAACTACTGAAATCTTTGTTTACTATATTTTATTGTTGTTGTTATTCTGATTGATCTCAGTATTGCTAGTTCCATTAGTTTAGTCGTATACTTTGTACATGATTAATAAAATACTTAATAACCTTTACTGATGTGTTTATTTTAAAGTAATAATTCTTACAGCATTATTGTTCATGAATAACTACAAAACGATATGATGATAGAAACATGAATCAGGTTCAACTCTAACTGGAGAGATCTTCTGTATGACATTAAAAATGTGTCTTTTGAATATACTAATGTGTTTTGATGCCCTGATGATCCACAGAGGGAGAAGCTCTTGAACTGTAGG